GCTAGCTATTNTGTTAGAATGGCTAGGTTNTTNNATTGTNNTTAGATTNGNATGGTTTAGTGTGGAATTGATTGGATATTGTTGCACTTGTCTGAACTATTGATCTTGGTTATTGAATATTGAAATGATTGGGTTATTGTTTAACTGCTTTTGTTCCGCTATCTTAATGTGATTGAATTGATTGGGTTGTTGAGAGTTAGCATTTATGGAAATACTAATTCGAATCCAATGTTAAAAAAAAACGGGTTGGGTTGTTTCATATAATCCATAAAAAAAATCAAGCAAAAAGGTGAGAAAGTAAATAATATCACTCTATAAAAGTAAATAAAGTTAGTTTGGAAATATTAATACGCAACCATTATAGAGAAACCTACTAATTATTTATCTAATTTGATTTTTTTTTATCTTTTTGCATATTCTTTGATTTTTAATTTAATTTTATTACATATTTCCAAATAATTAATTTTTCCTATTCCTATTTGAATTATGTTGACTATTGTTATTTTATAAATAATGATATTAGATTTTGGAAATTTTATAAAAACTCTTCAAACACGTAACTAAATTTATTTGAACGTTGTTTTTTTATTATTTTATAAATAATGATATTTTGTGTTTTAAGATAGATAAAAAAAATTGGCATGTAGTTAAATCTACTTGGAAAATAGGTTTATACACGTATCAATTTTTTAAAAATAATTGATGTTAATTTTTCGAACTTAAAAGTTCATTATTTTTGTGAAGATATATATGCTCTAGATAATAAAACAAAAAGTTGAGTTTGAAGAAACCTTATTAATCTTTAAAAAATTAAAATATATCGTCATATTCTTTTACACCTATAAAATAAGTTAGTAATCATTTTTTCTAATGAAAACTCCAAAAAAAAAAAATTCTAAAAGAGATTATTGAAGTTTTAAATTGCTTGGTGAAAAGGTGGAAAAAACACTAAAGTATTTATTATAATCCTTGAATATTTGAATATGCAAACATAAGTCTATTTAGACTAAAAAATTACACGTATAATATAATATTCTAATGAGAAAAGGTGTTTGATATTTTTATATTATCTATTTATATTTAAAATAAAATTCTCTAAATGATAAATACAAATATATAAGTTTTATCTAAAAGAAGATTTGTTTGACATGTGGTAAAATTTCATTGG